GTACGGAACTAAGGTACGGAATTATTATCTGACAATTAACCTCTACAGTACATGCAACTTATTTTGGCCGTTGCGCGTACCGGGTATTAAAAGTCACGCGAACGTGTAGAGGATCCGGATCATTTGAAACCTAGCTTGCAACTCGGTCTGCGACTGCAGCTAAGGCACTTCGGCCGGTCAAAAATGCGCGGTAGACTTTGAACCGGTACCACGACCTGCCCCACTGCTAGTCTCACGTAATGGTCGGTAGTAGTGCCGGTAGAACAATACATCCTCAGTGCGCAGCTTCGGCAACCGCCGCCCTCCCGAGGCTCCAACACCATGTTTCGGGCCTGGACACTTGGCAGCTTCTGACTGGCCTTATCGCTTCGAGCGAATCTTGGCCAAAGTCCCGAGCACTTTTCCATCAAGCAACCGGGCACAGTTACGGGCGGACCTGTCACCTTCTTCTACAACGCTATTGGCATGTACAACTTACTTGCGCCTGCGCGGCCGGCCGCGGGCGATGGTTGCAGGCGGCCCTGCATTGGCAAACCGAAGACATAGGAGCTGCAGTACACCGTAGGTCCATATGCAGGCCAACTGATTTTACCATATGCATGCCACTCGCGTGATCGCGATATCTACTGTAGCTAGCTCGCCCAATCTGAATCAATGACTTACGAGACGAGATTTTATGTCAGCCTGCTGGCCGCTGCGCCGCAATGATATCAATGTCATTAAGCTCTTGAGGCTGATCGAGCGCTTAAAGCCGACGGTGGATTCTCAAAAGCGGACAGATCACAGGCTGGCGCGCGTGGGGCGCGGCCCGACGCTTCATCCCCGTTTAGTCAGCTCTTATCTTTGATCTTGGCCTAGACTACCATTCTGATGTCGCTTAAGGTTCGCGCTTATCGTCGTGACATAGCGGCCGTCCGTTCTTTGCAAGGCGCCAGCCAGACTTAATGCTCAATTCTGGTTGCGGACCGCGCGGCTTGTCCAAATTAGACATTCAATGAACACAAGGCTGCGAGGATCCTAGCTTGTATCCGGACCAGGCTGGCTTTTACAGTAACGCTGGGTCGGTACGTCAACTTCCTACACTGTTCCTGAGGCTAGCAGCTTTCAAGTTTGCGTTCCATAAGGTGGACAATTGCTAGATACGACTTGCCGTGCTGGTCTTGGTACCCTTCGTCACAGAAGAAAAACAGTCAACGCAGGTACTGTCAAAGACGCAACACTTGCTCTGCGCACCAGACGAAGACGTGCGCTGGAGATGATATGTTGACCGTGAAAGCAGCAAAAGCGCCCGTCTTGAAGATGCTGACCACCGCTTGACAACTTGGCCGTGCAGTGCCCACGTCTACCCAGCCGAACAGCTCTGACCAACTTTCGTAATGAGCGTTTGCGAGGGCACTGTGCTGCGTCGTGCATGTGATCTGGCCGTCTTTAGATTCTTTGTGCTTCCCTCGTCGCGCGAGCTTTTCAAAGAGCTTTTCCAACAAGCCAACTTTTGGGCATTGAGCTAGGACCTACATGAGCGCTCTGTATTCTCGAAGACGCCCATTTTTTTCGTTTCGTCCTCGTCGCGCCAGCGAGTAGTGACGCCCCGGATTAGTACTCAAGAGTGGAAGGCCTCAAAGCCTCCGCGAGCTTTTGCTGGTTGCGGCGCCAATAGCTAAGCCTTGTTCCAGGATGGCTCCCCGGCGCGCACTGGCGCATGGCGCGTTTTTCTCCGTCCTCCTCTTGGCCCTCCTCCTGCGGACGTCTGCGCAAGGTACGTGGCTTCAAAAGCAGCCGGCACGGATCCGTGTGATTTGACGTCTGCGTCTGTGGTCTTGCGTGAGGTTCTGATAGTAAATAATTACAGAAAGTGCATCAGCTTTTCACTTGCAGTTTCTTTTTGGTGTAATCAAGGGCACATGTGACGAGGTCCCTTCTTTGGAAGCTCTTTGACTCGATGGCACAGAAACATGGAAGAAATGGAAAAGAATGGGCGATGCAGCTATGAATTACGTGCGTTCGCACTGCGCTGGTTTGGTGTCCCTTGAGAGCCCAAGCTTAGGAGCTTTAAGAAGCAAGGTCAACCACAGAAAACATCTGATACCGTATCGACCCTCCCAATGTCGGTCAAGAGTTTGATGCCTGCATGCCGCTCTTTCAACCTGCTTTTCGATCAAATGCTGCCACGGTTTTGCTATACAATAAAATACTGTTAGTACAGAGTCTTGCTGTTATTCTGAACACCTGGTCACTTTGATTTTACTATAGGCCACAGACCGGATTGGTCCATATACGTCAGCAATGCCTCCTTTTTTCTCGACCATTCAATGCAAGAACACTGAGTTTAGGGCAGCAAGGCGTAGCAACGTCGGCTTAACCCATCATGAGATGCTTGCTGGTCATTCGTTCTTCTAAAGCACCGGCACGCACGGCAGCCCCTCCCTAACTTTTTCCTCCCAATGTGTGAAACAGGCCCTGCTTCGGCCCCAGCTCCTGTGACCGCAGGTACGTGCACTTCGAAAAGATCGGATGCCTTAGAAACAAAGCTCTTGGCTGGTCTCGAGACTTAAATTCTAAACGTATTGTCGGCTGGTTCGGCTGGTCTGCAACGTGTATTCGGAGTGCCTCTCTGATGCTCAGCCCTCTGAGGCCGCCGTTGCATATGATTGCAGGGCCCAACATCTCGACTGTGCTGCCGGGCCTCCTCGGAGGGGCCAACGCGTCCAACGTGTCAGGTCAGACCAATGCCGCTTCTCCTTTCGCTGGTCTTAGGGAGTGATATCCAATTGGAAAACGTTCACCCTCAAGCACTCAAAGTGCCCGCTTTCTTTGCAGTCAAAGAGAATGTCTCTTTAAACTCAAGTTCCACTGTGATTGTGGAAGCGCTCTCGAGCATCGGTATGCAAGTCTTCGTCGTCATCTGAGGCGCAGCCGCTTGCTGCAAAGTAAACCTATCTCTCGTCGAACACGGCAAAATCGCCCGAGAGAATCTTATGCATGGACCTGGTCAATGATACCGATCATACCACCTCCCTGCTTTTTGTCTTTTGCGAGAGTGCCTGATCCACTTTTAGAACTCCTGATCAACCTGTGCGAATCACTGGAGTCTGTTTCTAGTGCGATCGCGCCCGCTGTTCCCCTGGCCCTAAACCCCCAAACCCCATCTGTGCAGCGCCGGCCCCCGCTCAAGCGCCGGTTTCCGCGGTCGCTCCCGCGCCGGCTCCCGCTCTAGCTGCGACCGAGACCGCTCCCGCACCAGCCCCTGCGGCCAGAGAAGTCGGGGTCGTGGCGGGAGGTTAGCCCCCATTCTTCTCGCACTTTCTCGAGCTTCGTAGGGACCATATCAGAGCAGAAATTCTTGCTTCTTCTCGCATATCCATCAGGAATGCCTTGGCGAAGTTCGTAGTGTCTCTGCCCGCCAGAAAATGCTGAAAACAAAAAGATCTCAGGATTATGACTATCAGGGAAAACGGTTGGACAGTCAAGAAAGAACTGAGGCCCTTCTATTGCTGCAAAGACGTAGGCGTGTTCGCTTGTCCATTAGGTTTGCATTGCTGGATCTCTCACTGGCCTTACTAATGCTCACTGCAGGAGTCAACGCCACCGCACCGCCTCCAAGCTCGCCAGCAGCCGTCTTTACTCCGGGTGAGCACCAGGTGTCAACAAAGGCCGGCTTGGAAAAGTCTTTTGGGCATCCATTATCGGGTGCATCCGGATGGAACGCGGTCTTCGCTGTTCTGACAGTGGTGTCTCAGCAGTTTGGCGCAAGGCCCCGAGAGTGCCCCGAGAGTTATTCGATGCCTCAATCTACTCTCGTTGGACTGCCGCCGTCCTTCGCGATCAGCATATGCTGGTGAAATGGAGAGCTTGGTTGAAGCGCAGGTTTCATGTCAGTCTCGTGAAGATGCAGGCGCGAAGATGATGTCATTGTTCCGATGCTGATGCCGTCTTTTTCCGGCTGTGCTTCCAGGTCTCTGGAGCTTCGCGATCACGGCTGCGGCTATTTCTGGGCTGTGGGCGATTCTGTGAAACAGAAGAACAGTCATAGAATCTAAAAACGCAACAATTCAAAAAGTAAGAAGGCCGCGCTGTTTCCTCTTCCCGTGCTTCCAGGTGACTGGATTCCTGTGACTCAGTCTGTTGATACTGCAGGTCATTCAGGTACCGCAGATAAGACAATCAAACCTCTCATAACTGGAAGCTTATACGAAGTTGACCAAGGTCCCCACATCTCGATCTCTTGCGCGCAATCGGCCCGAATCGACAGATGCATGCAGCACGTACGTTAACAATATGCACAGCGCCGGTGGCCAATTACGTGGGCGGCAAACTCACGGCATGGCGAATGTTTTGGATACATCGTTCAAATGGACGTACCGCAATGAGATCGGATGCGGCATGAAGCGCGCAGGCTTAACTTGAGTTTGATCGATCGAGATAATTGTAATTGTAATTGTTTGATCAAAGTTGTTTCGAGGGGCCATGAAGACAAGATTAATTAGTCGACCGTGACGGTTCTCCTACGTGCTCGATCAGCTAGACTTTTAGCTGTGAACGTCTTAACGTGCGCAGCTATGGGCAAACTTAGCAGATACGTTGATGCAGCGGCGGCAACGGCCAGATCGCGCGATTTAGATATCAACGGTGGCATGCAAAGCTGAACTTCCTTGCACCGAGAATTCCATGCACACACACATCCGAAAATAGTTCAAAATTTCCTTGCGTTGACAGTTCCACAGACAGATCCGAATTGGAATAAGTTCATGTACATTAGCATGCTTTCGCTGACATATGCATGCTTAATTGCGGACTCGAGGGCGGGCCAGGCGGCCACGCCATATGACATCGAGATCGACGACATGCGCGATGCTTATGATGCACGTTAAGCCGCATGCCCACCGAGCGAATGCCCATGCAACCGGATCGACCGTCCAATAAGCTCGGCCGGTTACAATGATTGGAGCAACTTGACAATCTGCCAATAATCTGTACGACTGTCCAACCGCGTGTACGGGATCCTGTAGGTCCTTGTGTTGAACGTTTGATGGTGACCACGAATTCAGGATTGCAACATGGCCGGACGGTCGTTACCGATCCGACGTAACAAAATGTAAGAACATCAGGCTGCCAAGTACAAAATCGTTCTCAATGTTGAGAGGTTGGCAACCCTGAATCCTCTCCTCAAGTATTCATATCTCCAACTCGAGTTTCATGCTCAGCTCATTCGAGATCGAGCCCGGCATACGCCGCGCAGCCAACACCTGTGCGTGCGTGTTCACGAGCCGCCCTTTACTTGACTGACTTGAGGATCTTGTCGTCCAGCGCGAGCTTGTCCTTGAGGTCCTTCTTGTTCCGCCCGCTCGCGACGTAATCCTGGTACCGCGCCGTCAACACGTCCAGCAGCTGGGCCTGGGGCGTCACCCCCAACAGCTTCTTGGCGGCGCGCGGCTCAGCATAGAAGTGCTGCAGAGGAAAAAGACTCGTGCACTAGGGAATTTACTTCATATATTTCCTATCCCTTTCGCAAGGAACGCTGGATTTTGAAACTGGTCAGAAGAATGTTAATAGCTCCATGCCCAGAAAGCCTGATGCATCAAAAAGCATTCGATAGAACGCAAGGAAGTGCAAATTACCGATAGAGCTTGCAATGGAGGTCTGATCTCTCAAAGAATGCATCAAAAACCTTGAGAAGTACATCATCGCGCACTTTCTCCCAAGGATCGGGTAGCACAACTTTCGATTGCACCAAGAGCTCCTTTTGAACAACTTTCCGAGTAGCTCGAAAACCATACGCCAAGCTTGGCACACAGGATAAAGCCCTGGGTGCATTTCCTTACCACGTTCCTGAAGGGGAAGGCCTTCTTGACGTCCACGTCGGCCTTCTTGGGGTCGTAGTGCACGATCTTGACCTCCTTCGGGTCCTTGCCCGCAGCCTTGGCCGCCAAGCGCACCAGCCTGGAAAGAGGGGAGCACAAAGGGAACTAAGCCGGGGTTCACTGTTCATTGCTTTTGAATGCGGGCGTAAGTCCAAAAACTGCGAAGAGAATAGGCGTTGGAGGGTTACACCGTGACGTGCGAAGCTGACCACGCTCGTCGGTAAATGCTTCTTAGAGACCCCTTTTTGATGCGGGCCCCCGGGGTCAGACTCGAGAATCCAGGTAACCAGGACTCCAGGAAGAAGCTTTTACACGAAGTTGTGCGTTAGCACCAATCCGCTCTGCCTTGTTTCCAGCCCCAGCCTGCGAGTGGCCTCACCCGTCGAAGGTGACCCCCCTGTCCCCAACCAGGTTGAACACCTGCCCCGCCGCCTTCTCCGGCTGGTTCACCGCCGCCGCCAGAATGGCCGCCAGGTCCGTGACCGGGGTGATGTTGGTGATCTGCATCCCCGACCCAGGGATAGGCACAGCGCGGTCACGCGCAATCCCTGCACCAAGCAACCGGCGTGCGCGCGCTGAGAGACGCTGAATGCAGTTCCATTCCCGACTATTAGCACGTGCCTCTGCAGCTTCGAGCTGGTGAATGGTCCGAACAGTGAATGGTACCAACAGCTTCGAGCTGGTGATAAACTAGCGGCAGAAATTGCAGTATCGCACAGTGGAGATTCACAAGGGAGTTGATGCCACGCCTCGCCTGCGGCTATATCGAGTCTTGATTGAGGCACGAGGTCCAAACGAGTTGGATCAACAGCATCAGCCCCTCCAAATGGCTTGTGGCAGCCTTAGGCCAACCCATCTATTAGATACTCACTGGGCACTGATGAGATGCATGAGGTCGTCCTCGAAATCCTTCCTTAAACTGGTCGAGCCAGATCAGCAGGCCAACTCGAAGAGCATTGAAGGCAGCAGATCGTCAGCAGAGACCTCAGTCGTCAAGGACGCAACACGCTTCCATGGCACGTTTGGAATGTCCTCGTCTGGTCCTGTTCACAGTCTTCTTGCATTATGGCTGCGCCTTAGAAAGCTTCCACAATTTCTGACTGCCGGCTTATGTCAGGACTTGATACAGGGTGGGTGTGGGCGCACTCACTGTCGAAGAACCACTCCTCGCAGTCCTTGTTGTTGTACTTGCCAGTGATGTACTGCGGCCGGAAGAAGGCGGCCCCGCTTGAGAAGCCGGCCTCGTTCAGGTACTTCTCCACCTGCACGTGGCCCGCGTCCGCCTTCACCGGGTCCTGCACGCACGGCCACCGCGCAGCCGCATGTCACAAAGGGCACCCCAACAGTGTGGACTCGAAACAAGGTGGGAGTCGAGGATCTGCTATGGACAATGGGTATCTAGAATGGACAAACTCACAAGCCAACTGCCAAGTATTTTGGGAGTCTGTGCAGGAGTTTGTTCGGAAGGCTGAGACTGCTGGGCTTGGCTTTTGACTCCCTGACATGCTCCTTCTATCAATCCCGTTTTTTGTGCGAGGTTCGGTGAAGACTTGGGACGCAATACTCAAAGTGAGATTGTGACTCGTGTACTTCCATCAAAGTTTCAAATCACGTGGCTGCGAAAGTGAGGGAAGCAACTCAACCCACAACTGGTTTTGGCAGGAATTGGCCATGAACGATGACATTGTGGCCTCTAAGGGCCAGCTTGAAAGTAAATCGAGACAAGAAAGAGTCTTACCCCCTCAACATGAGGAGGCTCCTCGGTGTTCTTGTAGATTCCTGCGCTGCTCACAAACAGGAACTGCGACGCGCCGTTGCTCAGAGCCCACTCCGCCACAGGCCTGCACAGCAAGCGCCACGTCTGAGGCGGGTTGCTCCCGGCAAGCAGTTCACAACCCTGAGCATTGGCTGACACAAGTATACACCCATTACAAGGTAACAGGTTGTGCGAAGCCTCAAATAGGAAAACATCATGATCTACAAAAGTGGCGAGAATCTTTGATCACAGCGGTCCCGCATCATCCAGAGCATACTTACTGGACAGACTCCAGGTCCTTGCCATTGTTGTCGATGACTGTGTCAAAGCTACCCTCAACAGCGCCGCCAACTTTAGCAGGAGAGCCCCACACTACTTTCACGCCAGCTGAGCGCAACTCCTGCAGAGATAACAGCAGCGGTCTTGAGTGTCCATTATCAGGATGTGCCTTTGTCAACCAGATTGTCGTTGCAGAAATGTTAATATTGAAGAGCAATGTTAGGCCTTGGACAACAAGGGTAAGAGAGTTGTGACTTGTTTGTCTTGCTATATACTTAGTCTCTAGCGCGCCTGGATCTTGCTATATCGTATGAGGCCACATTCCGCCTCTCAAGGTCCACCACTTGCCAAGCAGACATGGTTGAGTCGCAACTCATACATTGACAAGTATTCAGTGGTCATGGAGGAACTTGCCTCCAGCTTGGTGAAGGGTTCCTTCTTGTTCTTGTCGGATGACTCATCTCCTGCATGAAAACAAGCATGGCATGGAGTTGGCAGCTTGGCGCCAGGATAGACCCTAGTTTTTCCATGATCCAAAAAAGTAGAGCACCGACTGGGTGAGTGGACATCTTCTGTCGTGCGGAGCAGTTGGCAAGCGCTGGAATTGACTTAGGTTGCGGGACCTCTACATTGCTCCACAAATTGCAGTAGGATTCCTCTGTTCACCTGCAATGAAGAACGTCACTTTATGGCCGTCCTCCTGCAGTTGCTTGGCCAGCCAGAAGCCAATCACCGCATGGCCTCCCGCGTGTGTGTTGACAAGCAGTACCTTCCTGGAAGCACTGGCAGTGACGGCGCCACCTCTTTGTCTGGCCTGAGAAGCAGGTGTGCACGGCCGCTGGGTGGCGTGCAGAGCAATGCTGCTGATGCCGTTGAAAGACGAGTTCAAAGATGGCAGCAGAGTGGCTGCATTGGCTTCCGAATACCTTCCACTGGAGACTGCTTGGAGATTCTTCGAGTGGAATGCGAATGCGAGCGACGAGCGCCTGTTTGCTTGGCAAGTGTAGCTTTCAGTTTGGCCAATGAAGGATCCGACAGCAGAAAGAGAGCGGCAGGCGGATCCATTGGCCATATTTGGCGCCTTCCCTTCAACTTTTTAACGAGGAAGATCAAGAGAAAAGCGCTTTGCACTGCCACTGTCAGGATGTCCAAGAGCGTAAGTCTAATCAAGCTCCAAACTCCGATGCTAATGCCAGTAATGGCAATGCAAGGACACAGATTATGCATGAATGCAGCAAATTGCTGTTCAGTGAAGGCAGTGAACCGACGGTACTTGTCGGAAGCCCATTCAGCTGGGCCCTGGGCGATGCTACAAACATCCGATTAGTACCCTTCAACATCGACGGCTATCAGTGTCTGTTCGAGCCAGGGATCCCACAACATGGACGACCACATTTGCAGCCACTGCCAGTGCCCCCGCAACCCGTTTAGAACCGTTCGATGCGGCTGGTTCTTCGCAGTAGGAGTAAAGCGTCAGTCATGTGGTGATCTCGCTCTAGATCACGATGCATGCAGTGCAGCAGGCTGGGCCTCGCATTGCTCAGCTCACTTTAAGTCTTCAGTACTTTGAACAGGTTTCCTTGCAAGAATCAAATGTTGTTCTCAGCAAGAGCGCTGGCAGACTAGGCGGGGAGAGCGACAGAGAAGGAGTGGAAGGTTACTTCTTTCGTGGCTGCAATGCACTCTGAGTTTGGAAGCTTTCTGCAGATGGATGGATGTGCTCGAGGCGTCACATCCCACTACCTTTGGTTGCAAGCTTCGTGCTCATTCAGTTAAAACCATCGCACCCTGAAGCACTTGCGGAAATCAGTGAGGGCAGGATCCTGCACACCTTCTGGAAAGGGGACTCTTCTAGATGGAGACTGCTCATACTCTGACCTTGCAGCAGCCAGCTGCGGCATTGACTAAGAGCCAACATGCGCCTGCTTCTGGCACTCAAATTGGGACCAGCGAAAGTTCTTGCAATGGCCGTTCATACAGGTGCTGTAGCCCTGCACTTGTTCTGCATGGAGGACAAGCATGGAAGCTGAGCAGTCCCGCCGGAAGCAAATCTACCAATCAGCCAGAGTCAAAATCAGAAGGCAGACCTGGTTTCGCAAGGACTTTTGTGACTCTGGTTCAGAATGTCGGTGAAAGTGACCAATTTCAAAGATGCCGGGCGCGGGCAGGGGCTAAGAATGGAGGCTGTGGCAGATCTGCTGAGCACCAAGCACTGGCCTTGCTTATTCAGTGCAGCATGTTTGGCAGACACACTGGCCACACCCATGGCAAGCGGTGGTGGCCCTGCCTGGCCCCCCAGGCGGGGTCTCGGCAGCAATTGCTGCGCACTGTCTCACTCACTGCAATCTTGAATGCAACTGTGCTGGCGCTGAAAGAGAAACTGGAGGCATTGGGTGGGGGAGGAGGACCGTCAGGAGGGGATGGATGGGGTGGCCCTGTATGGAGGTGGAGGGACGATAGCTCGGGGGACAACGGGGAGGCAGGCAAGGGACAAGGGGGCGTGGCGGAGCAGGAAGAAGACGAGGAGGAAGAGGAGGAGGAGGGGGTGGGGAGCTGGGCCAAAATGCAGCCTGCGTTCGCACACATTGGCGGGGTTCATGGCAGGGGATACGAGCCAAAAGGGAAGGACGGTGATGAGGACGAGGGGGAAGAGGGGGAAGAGGACATTGACGGAGACTTTGACGTAGAAGAAAAGAGCACAGGGAAAGAGAAGGAAATAGAGGGAGAGAGCGAGGCAGCGGTGCCGAGACAATCAAAGTTGAGACCAAAGAGAGTATACTCTGACTTACCACCCAACTTCGTGGAAGTTTCAGCGAGAAAAGATGCTGAGGCAGAGGAAGCAATCGGAGAAGATGGGGCGGATGATGTAGATATTGTGAGCGAGGGGACTGAAGGGTCCGACTTTCCGGCGGGCTTTGTGGAGAATGTAGATGTGAGAGTTGTTCCCCCTGCCTCAGCATCTCCTGCGCCGGAGAAACGAACTTTGAAGCTGGTGTCAGATGCCCCCAAAGACGAGCCGCTGGTGGAGGAGGAACCGCTGGAGCGGAGAGGCTCCTCACCTGCCCATGCTGTGGAGAATTGGGTCTCAGGTGAGCGGCTGCGGCCCTACTTCTGCCGTGCATGTCTAAGCACAAAGTACTCTCAATCCATTTGCTTTACCGTGCATTTCAGCAATGCTTTCCAGGAGGGGCGACTGCGGTGACCGGTGCAGATCAAATGCAGGTGAAGCGGTCATCGTTTTGCACAATTCTCAAGTTCGTTGAGGACCAAAGGACCAGCGTCATAACAATCTCAACGTGTCGGTTTGCGCAGGGGTCTTTGGAGCTTTGCTTGGACGGCGAACAGGGGCCCAGCCTGCACCAGATCTAGAACTGCTTGATGCGCAGAGCACTGCACAGAGAGTGATTGAGCTGCTAACAACACAACAGGGTGACGACTCCCTGGCCATGCGAGGAGATATCAATGCGCTGCGGCGATTGCAAGTAAGGGATTACACACCTTCCTGTACCATTTTCGTAAGACACCAAGACACCCTATTTGTTTTCGCGTTACAATTGTTACAAGCGCATGGCAATCGTCAGATATGTAGGTTCTCAGGTGAAGCTGTACTTCAGGAGTATGGGGCTTTTTGCAATTCACTTAGATTATAAGACTTTACCACGTAATCTTGCAACTTTGCAAACCACTGCGCGCATGCAGTTGGCTTGTCTAACAGCAGAGTATCCTCCTCCTTGCAGCGGGAGACATTTGCGCAGCTTCTGGAGATGCGGGACCGCTTGAGCAAGCTCGAGTTCCACACGGGCCTGCGCCACACTCGCGGCAAGGCCGCCCTCCCCGCATTCGCGTCCCACCTGTCCGGCAAGACCAAGGTCAGCGGCGAGGTCAGCATTGGGGTGGGCCTGCTGGCGCTGGACGAGGACCAGAGCCGCCCCACCAAGCGCAGCCTCGACCACGCTGCGCTGCGCACCGGCACCGACGTGCGCATCAACCTGGAGACGCCGTTCCGCACCACAGACCTGCTCATGACGCAGCTTGCGGCGGGGGACTCGCACGGGGCCGGCGCGGCGGGGGGGAGCGTGCTGGCGGTGAAGAAAGTCATGTACCGGACGCAGCTGACGGATTGGCTGTGCCTGCGCGTGGCGGCCACGGGCGCGCAGGGCGCTGACATGGCGGAGGCGCTCAACCCGCTGGAGGGGCAGGGCCTGACGGCGCTGACGTCAGCGGGGAGCGCGCTGCACCGTCGGTGCATGGGGGCGGCGGTGGCGGCCACGGCACGGACCAACGACTGGAGCTGGCTTACGGTGGGGCACTTCGTGAGCGGGTGGGGCCCCGGCAGCAGCGCGGAGGAGCCGCTGTGCCACGCAACGCTGGGGCAGGTCACGCTTCGGCCCGCGCCAGAGTGCGCGCTCGCTGTGGTGGCACTCAACCGGCACTGGCCGGCGCCCAGCCTGCCGTCTGGGACAGGTGAGGGGAAAAGGATACGATGGATTATCTAGGACAATCTGACCGGAAAGACCGTTGCTAATATGAGCTTGTAGGTTTGGAGGGTCGACTTGGCCCGTTGCGGTCGGCGAGTCAGGTTCGTCGTCCAGTTTTATTCGTCGACTCGAGGCAAGGTCGACATCGGCAATCCAATCCTCAGCACATCCTCAGCAGCGCCTTCCCTTCCCTGTGCAGGCCTGCATTGGAGCGAGCTGGGCCCTCTCCTGGTGCCGCGCATCCGCGCGTCATCCCCGGCTCCTGCTACCAACGGCGAGTCGATGCGCGACAGCTACGAGTCGTCGTCCTCCAGCATGAACGGCACGGGGGACACCTGGGCCGGTGAGGATGCCACCCGCAACACAAGACCAGCCAGCGGTCTGAGAGTTTGTTTGGATAGCCGTCGCAATGCGGGCTGGGGGGACGACTTGCCGTTGTTTCCTTTCGTGCAGTGTCGCAGGGACAAAGCTTCGGTTTCTGGTGGCCTATCCGGTCCTGACTTGTGGTTGCACTTCTGCCTTGATTTACACCAATCCAGAAGTTGGCTCTGAACGCGTTTGTCCACTTTGCAGGTGTGGGGCTGCCTCGACTGCACGGCCACTCGCTGCGGTCGTACGGCTTTGCCGGGGCTGTGGCGGCGGGCGAGCTGGCCACCTTCTCGGGGTGGGCCCACATGGACCAGACCTCCTCGGGCCGGGGGCCTCAGCGTGGCGTGCAGTGGGGGGTGACGCTGTCGGGCGTGCCGGACTCCCCCGGGGTGGGCTGGGGGCTGTCAGTGGGGTCCACGCAGCCGGAACCGTGGGTGCGGCCAGCCGACCTCAGGGTGGGGAAGGCGGAACCCAAGGGGTCGCAGACGCAAATGGAGGCGTTCTTGAATCTGACCACCGGCAAGGGCTTCACGCTGACACCGGGAGCAGTGATGATCAAAGAAGGGCAGCGGGTGACGGGGCCTGCGTTCATGCTGAGGAGCACCTGGGCGTTTTGAAGCTCTAGGCGGATTCACATGCACCACGGGTCCGTTTCAATGTCGAAGTTGGCTGGGTTAGTCAAAAAGTACAGAATATGCAGCCGGGCCACTTCGAGATTCCCAATGAAGCAGACTCAGGGGAGCTTTGGCATTCGACAATCTGTGCTTGGGTCTACTGTGCGCGTAGCCTAGTTACATTACAGTCGGACACTGAGATGAGATTTCTAGGCAGCCGTTATGGTACACCGTACATTGTGCTTGACTCTAGTATTAGATATTGCGAGCGGTCTTGTATAGATTGTGCGAATTGCGGCCGGGCCTGCTAGCATTGCTGCAGCTTTATTGTACAGATCTGTGGACGCCATATGAATTGGCATGGTCCAAGTTGATTGCGCCCGGGCCTGCGGCAAAATTAGATGCGGGTGCCAGGTACCACCGATTACATATCTTGCATGTGCGTTTGTCCAAGTCTTGCGATTTTGGGGCCCAGCCGCTGATACGAACTGGCAATGGGCCCCGCTGAGCCCCAATCAACAAATCATTGAATAGCAAAGCCCCCGTCCGCGCGTACGGTACGCCTCGAGCTCGTCTGAGACTGAGTCCTGCCGCGTGAGGGGCTGCAGGTCCCCGTCGGCGGGGCAGGGGCGCCACCCGGACAAGTGGCATGGCCGGGAGACCTACTGAAGCATCAAAGCACAGATCCGGCGCTCCTGCACTGCAGCCAGGTGGCATGTGCAAGCCGGCTTTCGGAGTCAGGTTCCTTACCGACTTTGTTGTTCAACACGTAGAATACTACAAATGATATACTATATGTCATGAGCTGGCTGCGGGAAGTAGTACTATAAGGCCATTTTACACTGCGGGCGTTCTATATACACCCGTTCTACATCCATTGAGCCATGCATGGACTAATTGCAGGTCGAGTAGTGCGCGTGCGCCTACAGGCTTGTCGAAACGGAAAAAAAGTTTGTGGTCAAGGAGCAACGCCGCTACAACATGTGGCAGACATGATTGATTTGGGCACAAGCCAGACGTCAGAGCAGCTTACGATGTCAGACTGCACATGCATGAGAGGTGCGGGTGACCGAGTGTTTGTAAAAAGTCTACAGAGACTCGTTAAAATCCTCCGACGGCTTGACGTCGCCATGGAGAATTTCAAGCCTGGCGTCGGCGCTCTCTAGAGATAGTGAGAGCAGCCCCTACAATTATCAAAGAGCACCGTGGAATTGCAGCTAGCTGCTGAACGTGCTAGGTAAGTAGGTCGTATTTGACGGTTGCAGATTGAAGGGATCCCCTTGAAGTCATGCGCCACTCAGAGCTCTGCCTGCAAACACGAATCGTTCGATCGGTATTAAAGGTGGGCCATCGAACGGTTAGACGCTCAAGGTGCGCCCCAATGGGCTCGTTCACATGTAGATCTATATGTTTTGCATGCAATCTTCATATAGCCCATTGTCAAGCTGGTCGCGCAGGTGGCCGCCAATAGCGTACCTATTTGAGGAGGACGGTTAGAACCAAGGAAGTGTGAGGAGTGAAGGGTTCTTCACAAGAATACTTTTTCCCGCTTTCCAAGTGGTTGCTACAACAATGTCTTGTCGCTCTCTGACAAAAGAATGCTTTGAAGGGGGGCCGGTCAAAACAATGCGGCCTCTGTATCTTTTTGACAGCCGCAGGGGCCTCTAGATTCGTCTTAACCAGGTCAGAGTATCAGTGTACGACCGCACCTGCAACTGAGGAATCACGTGGGCGTTTGTGCACGGTGCACCAGCCAGCCAATGTTTGTTTGCCTGAGCTGTCTCCAGCAACTTCTTCAGGTCAGCTGATTGCCTATGTGCAGCTTCCAGCCTTACGGCATTGCTAATCATCTTGCGCTCCAGACGACATAGAATGCTGCAATGACTCAGGGGCGGTCTTTGGGACAGTCCTTTCTCCAGTTTGGCTCACTAGTTAGTCTGATTTAGCTCTCAGATTTATGCATTACAAGCATGGAAGGAGAGCGGAGAAGAGAGGGGATTGATGGTTCAGGCGGCAGAGCTGCGGAAGTGGATCCTGCGCTTGACTTCTTCTCGGTGAGTTTTCCTTGCCCCATGCCCCCTAACCACTCTTGGTTATAAGCAGCCTGCCTGGATGAAAGTTGCTGGCAGGATTGGTGGTTCATAATTGCACTTATGATGTGACGTGATTTCCCATTATGAACAGGGTCAGAAGACTCCCCAGCTGCCAAAGCCCATTCGGGCTCGCTTGAGCGATCTGAACCTTCATCCAGTGAACGTCAACTCAGGAATCGGCATTGGTTGCATTTGGAAGGTATTGCAATCTTCAAAAGGAAGTAGGGACCTTACAATGAACACAGGCCCCGGCAGCAAGTGATCGCTACCAGCATTGAACAGCCTCAAGGCGCTTCTTGAGGTGCCTTCCTGAGGCAAACAGGGGAAATGTGTTTTGGGTACTGTACCAGAGGAAGTGGCCTATCGACTACAGTAGGATAAACTGCCCCATGACGGCCACATTATGCTGACCGGTGCGTGGCCTGGTGTGGCAGGAGCTGTTTGACCCGCTGTGTGCGCTGTACACGGTGGGCCTGCAGCCGCCCGCGCCGCGCGTGCAGCCGCTGGACAACCTCAACAAGTGCCGCAGGATCATCCCCGAGGTAAGCTACTGAACGACTGTAGGCAGCGGGCCCCTCCATCTGGAACAGTCCAGAGTTAAAGAGCACGCGCCTCATCTGAGTTGGCCGGCGAGGAAGTTCGGTCTGTTCACCAGAGCTCTGAGAGGTGCAGCCTACTCTGGACAACGCCTTTGAGTCCGCCTACATGCTCTCTGAATGCCAGGCTGGCTTCTAATGTAAATGGATCACTTTTTGTTACATGTGGCTCAGCTTGCGCTCGCTGCGTCCATGCTGCAGGTTGTTCCTGAGTCTCTGGCCAATGTGGCGCCCCGGGTGCCCCGCTCTCAGGAATCCATTGCGGCGCAGCAACGGGCCAAGGTGAGCCACCGACCAGCCTCCTCTCTGGAAGGCGACCTGGCCGCTCGGTGCTGCGTTGGTGGGAGAGAGCCAGCCCAGAAAGGTGCATCCTTGCTCAACACCGCAGTTATTTCTCTTTACGGGCTGCCACGTGGCACTCGTCCAGTGCATGTTCTGATGGGATCCTTTGAGGCATATTTGGTTACTTTGAGGTCGGTCACTTCCCGCCCCGAGACCTGTTTATCAAGCTGCTCGTACATTGGTGGCAGGCGCACAAGAGTGTTCGGCTGGCGGCAGCAGCAGAGAAGGAGCGCGGCAAGGAAAAGATCCTGGACAAGATTGCAGGTGAGCCACTGAAGCCGATTCGGGCAACCCAGAAATGGCTGTGCTTTTGGACGGCGCAGGATCCCCTCCAAACTTTAAACTTCGGGATGATGGCTGTTGTCGACTCATTCTGCCCTGATGCATTTGACGGTCACTGGGCTGCTGCCCTTCC